GGGGGGGGGAGCGAGCAAAGCGAGCGGGGGGGCTCAGCCCCCTCGGTTGGTTATCGCAGCGTGCCGGGGGCGACGGGAAGTCCCCTGCTGTTCAATAGAAAATATTCTGTAGAAAAAGTCAATAAAATTCGGTTTTTCTATACCACTAATGCTATTGAAATAGTTTGTATAGAATTTCCTCCGCTCAAATTTCCCAAGTTTGTTTCATTCTATTTGTTTTCTTTCCATTAAGAAAATTAAATAGAAAAACTTAGAAAATTTGAGCCGAGGAAATTCTATAGAAAATAAAAATTTCTCAACAAAAAAAGTTGTATAAAAAATCGAATTCTATTGACTTTTCTATACATTTATATATATTTTTAGTTGAATATTTCAATACAATTGGCCAAAAACTAATAGAAAGCTCAATCGAAACCCAATAGAATTGTCTAGCGAATTGACTCGGTTTTTCTGTAAAATTTTTTCACAGGAGATAATTCAGTCTATCATTGTTTTATATATCATACGAATACCTCAACAGACCCTATAAGATTGGGGGGAGCAAGCGAAGCGAGCGAGAAGGCGGAACTCCGCGGGTTTGGTGAGCGAAGTGAGCAATTGGCGAAGCCCTCCAGTGTTCAATAGAAAATATTCTACAAAAAAAGTCAATAGAATTCGGTTTTTCTATACCACTAATTCTATTGAGATACTTTCTATAGAATTTCCTCAAATTTCCTGATATTTTTCATTCTATTTTTCTTTTTTGTTTTCGTCAAGAAAATCAAACAAAAAAAGTTAGAAAATTTGAGCCGAGGAAACTATCGAAAATAACGTAATAGAACAAGTTATATAGAAAAATAGAATTCTATTACAAAAAAATTGTTATAACATAACATTTCCATCGAACATTTTTACTGAAAAAAAACACGCAGAACAGCTGCCGAATTATTCAACAGGACCCGCCAAAAACTAACAGAAAGTTCACCAGAAAACCAATCGAATTTCCTCGCGAATTCGCTACGTTTTTCAATGAACTTTTTTCGAACATCTACTTATTCTAATCGTCTCATCATCTCTGCTGACATATTTTACATCCTATCAACATTTTTTCACGCATGACCCAAGGTCAATGCACTTTGGCTATCGCTTCCTGCTTCTTCAATCCTTCACAGGGATTTTACTATCACGCTCCAGCTGAATCTTTAAACCATGAACTTCTCAACAGAAATCGCAATGGGAAGCGCATAAATCGCACTGACTCGGGCTAAGAAACAGGTTCGCTTACTTATTGGCCTACTTTTTATAGTGGAAGTACTCTCAAAAAGACCAAGAGCCCCGATGGAACACGCGGGAGGTACAACGTAAAACTTGGCTTCCTCGAAATAAAATAAAGTGAGCAAAGGTCCACCTTCTCATCGTTTCCTTTTTTCTCTCTCAAACTTCTTTGTTTTGTTTTTTTTTTTGCTACATCTCATGCGCGCCCCCTTCCTTTCCTTATTTTACAATTCACGCATGGAAACCTGTTTTTCGATAATGCTAAGGGAGCGATTACTTTTTTATTTCTCCTCGGGTTTGCCGTTTTTTTTCAATTTTATTGTACCTTTTTTGTGGAACAAAAAATAATTTTTTTTATTACGTAATGCGGTGAGGAAATTAAATCCGGGGGTTTAGGAATGAATGATTTTATTTTTGTCGTTTCATTCAATTTGTATTGATCAACTGTTAATTTTATATTTTGCGAGGTAATTGAAGAGACAATCTCGCTATAATATACCGATATTAAATTGTACGATTTAAAAAAAAACTCATTTTAAAGTTTTGAAAAAAAAATTTTTTTGGAAAACGAACTATTTAAAAAATATTTCTCCACGTTTTAAATGTCAATGAAGTTTATTGAATTGCTCTCATTTATTCGTAAGATATTGAAGACTTCGACTGGCCCATTTTGCCCCGTCCACTATTAATTGAAGTAAGAGAGGAAAATGTAATGGAGAATGAAGATTAGACTTTAGAAAATCAATTTATCTTGAAGTATTGATGCGAAAATATCGGTACCTCATCAATTGGTGAGTATCCATCGCACTTGGCATCGCACCTTGCCACATTGATTGGATCATACTCTTCGATGTACTTCATCCAAGACGCAAAACAGCTGGGAATAATGATCCACCAAACCCACCATTCTGATTAAGAAATTGATTTAAAAAGATTACAATGAAGGGATCGTCGCTTTGGATTGGTTCAGATGGTAATTGAAAATCTATTGATTTAAATTAATTACGTACTCTTGCTCTTCCCGGCTACCATGACACGATGAAATGACACTTTCTACGGATATATTGCTGGGCGATTTAGAAATTGTGTAGGAAGCTGAGGATTCGCGTGGTCAGGCTGGCGCCTATCGACTCGATGCGTTCAAAACTGGCGATCGAGTTGACTTTTCTGACCGGTCGATCCTTGCCTCCAGCCTCTCCTACCTCTCCAACGGACCCGGACGGCCCCGAACGGCCCACATCATCGTTACCACCACCCAGCGACCCTGTGCTCTGCCCCATCACCACCATCCGGCGTTTTAAGGAGTATAAACAGATCATCGCAGTTGTTTCATGCGTAACAAGATAATTTATTTGATGCTGTTTATGGGAAATTGAGAATGGTATTTTCTGAAACGAATGCATAAAACACTTTTTTGTCACTGCTGCTACGTTCACCCCGTGTCGAAATAGTATATTATGTCATTAGGCGATAAAAGTATTATCGCCTTCGGCTCGGATTATAAAGCCACATTCGCCAGATAATGCTTTCATCGCCGTGTGATATACGCTATTTTATGTCGTTGGGCCCGAAAACCGCGATCTAACTGAGCAAAGCGAGGTTAGAATCGCGGTTTATCGGGCCTAATGACATAAAGTGCCTTTTCGTTTACTAGTAAACGAAAAATGGCACAGTTCGGCACTCGCTGAACGTAACATCACTAACAAAAAATATAGTTCGGATACACCTGCGACGGGGTGTTTTAACTCGTGTGATTGGCAGCCCTCAGTTTCGCCTCGGGCCGCCAATTTCACACTCGTTACCACCCCGTCGCACTTGTATCGAAATATACTATTTCATCACGCTGTGACGAAAAGTGAACTTTTCGGCACGCTCCGCGTGCCTAAAAGTCCAATTTCCGCCACATTGTGATGAAAAATATTGTTCGTAACTCGTGAAAAAATGTTTTTTAGCTCGTGGGATTATAACACTTTTTTGCACTCGTTCCGAAATATACTATTTTGTGATATCCGCCTCAAAAGTGCACTTTTCGGAACGGCTTAGTGTGCGTAAAGCGGTTGTTTTCCACACGGCGTGCGTAAAGAATGCTTTGCGCACTCAAAATTCACTTTACGCACGCTCTTGAACTTCATGCACTCGTGCAGAAAAACAACCACATTTGCCCCCCCCCCTTCCGTTCCAAACAGTGAATTCAGCAGATTCCACAAAAAAAAAGATATTTTATATGTGTGTGTAAAAAAGGGAAGCTTTACGCAATTGTAAGACAATATACTATTTTCATCATATTGTTCATAAAACGTCGGTTTACGAGCAGTTCGTGTTCGCCAAACGCTGTTAGCGGAAGTTATTTTTCTGACACAAGTCAAAAAAACAACTTTTCTGACGAGTGTGATTGCGTTTCTCGCCTTCGCCTCAGTCAGAAATTTTTTTTTTTCAGCCTTGTGACGAGAATAGCTATTATGATACAAATGAAAAACGACACTTTTTTGCACACTTCGCGCATAAAGAACCGCCTTTTTCTCATCAGCATCATAAAGTATCGTACGATATATGTGAGACTGTGACTGTTGACTTCCACATCAGCCTTCACGAATGTGAGGATTACAGGTCGACAACAATTACTTTTTGATCATTTGCGCGCAAAATCTCACTTTCCACACATTGTGGTGAAAAATAGGGGTCGACACTCGTGAGAAAAGTGTTCTTCGCCCCTTGGGAGGGTAACACGTTTTATTATACAAGTGAAAAAGGACACTTTTTTGCACGCTTCACGAGCAAAGGAGCTTTTTCTCACCAGTGTCCTAAAATACCGTACAATAAATATGGAAAAAATTATTTTATTCGAGAAGTTGAAGGCTCAATTCCACGCCATGCGCGGATAACTTAGAAAATTTGCTGGAAAATTCTGAAGTATTTCTATTGCATTTTCTATTTGTTTTTGGCCCATTCTATTGAAAATTTCTATTAAAAACGGTTATTCGCCCGTTACGAGAAGAAAAAAAAAAGAGAAGAAAAATAAAGTGAAAAGAACTTAGAAAATTCATGTCATGGAATTCCTATAAAAATTCAATAGAGAAAGTTGTGCAGAAAGATAAAATTCTCCTGATTTTTGCGCGAAGTTTTTCATCTGCATTATAAAAACTTCGATTACCAAATATCATTCTTCATATTCTACATGAGACTTCCAATGCAACATTCAATTTCGCTAAATTGTCGAATGTCGAAGGGTGTAAATTCTTCGATGAGGCGTTGCTCTCGGTCCAGTGCATTCTATCGGATATAAATATATTTTATAATTCCACATAAATAACTCTGTTTTTTAACTGAAATTTTATGACTCTTTTATGGCCAGACACCAGAGGCCATTAAAACGCTAACTTTACAACCCGATGGTTAGCTATCGGATTCGGCCCCTCTTTTCAGAGCATTAATCGACTATTGTCCTTGTTTTTGCCTGTTACTAATTCATTATCAGTGAATAGACTCTGTCAATGTTCGATTCGACGAGGAAATTTCATTGTCAGTGCTTTATTTCAGTAATTCCGAGAGAATTAGTCACAATTTTTACTCCGAATTTGATTCTATCACACTTCCTTCATGTGTTGTATCTATCATATCTTATTCCATCCACTCCCAATTCCTGGAGTACTCATCACCTTAAGGGTATCATTAATTGTTTTTTACGGAAATCAATTCTAAATCCCCAAGTACATTTCTGAATTTTTCGCTTCCAAATGGATGGAATTAAATCTTTTTTTTTCAAATATAGGGATTGTTGAACCCTATCAATCGGCGCTAATTAAAATTGAATTCATCGATTAGTTTTTTTAATTTTGGAATTTTTTGAAAATCGGTTGTCCCACGGTAACTAAAAAAATTGTTCTGAATGGATTGAATGATGGCTTAAAAAATTTATTTGGATGTCCTTTTGACCGAGTTCGAAGATGAAGGCGATAGCAATAATCGTTATTTTGATTTATTTGAAGATTTGCAAAAATTTTGTATTTTTTGAAAATCGGAATTCCGGGAATATATTTGAATATCATGCTTCAAATGAATTCAATCATAGCTTAAAATGTTTGATTTGATGCCATTAATTCGAAGTTACTACATGATTACGATAGCTATATTGATTGATTTGATTTTTATGATGATTTTTGAAAATTTCGAATTTTTCATCAATTTCCCTGAACGTGAGCTTTCTGATATGTTTCTTCAAATGTGATGTTTCAAATTCATTCAAGTATGTATAAATAAAATTTTCTATTAACATTTTATCGAAGGGCTGAGGGGAGAGATAGAACCGTAAAAAAGACATTCTGTTGTGTAGAAGAAAGGGATAATAAGAATAATGATGACGATAACATTCAACTAAGTTGAAAATCTGACAAAATTAGTTAAAAAGAAATTTTATTCAATGCAAGGATGTACTACACCCTTTCGGCCAAAATTCACGTTTTTTTCATTTTTCTAGGAAATTATTAATCGGATTGACGCGAAATAATATACCGTTTTTGCGTTTTATCATTATCGACTGACTCACGAAGTTTCATAGTAGTGCAATCATTTTCCTGCATTTTTTCTAAAGTTTTGTGAAATTCCGAAAACTTTTAGAAAACTCGGAGGAAAATGATTGCATCACAGTCATGAAATTTTGTGAGTCATTAAGTAATGATAAAACGCAAAAACGATATATTTTTTCACGTCAATCCGATCAACAATTTACCAGAAAAATTAAAAAAATATGACTTTTGGTGAAAAGGGTGTAATACATCCTTAATAAAATGAAATGAACAATGAATTATGCATGACAGAAGGAAATGATGTGCAAACTAACCATTCGAAAGCATATTGCTAATTTATTCGCAAGACTAACGGTACTATACGCAATACAAGAGCAATTTCCTGCTTGTGTTTTTTTTCAATTTCAAAAAAACGAAGAAAAAATTGATAAAATTGATGCCAAAGAATCTTTGTAGAAAAAACACTAATGGAACGAGTCTATCTCGAATTTTTTAAACTTGTTCTTACGTGATTCAGTGATGACTTTGAATGAAGATAAAGTCCCCATTTTTATTCATGAATTTTTGGGACTCCGCGGTAGGTGTAATGAGAGTACGAAATCTAGTGCGAAATCGTGGCATTGAACCCTAATGTAAATTCATACTGTTCACGAGTTCTTTTGTTTAGCGTACGCACTATAACTGGCCATGACTCAGTACTTTAACCCGAACAAACATTCCTTCTCACTGGGTCTCCAACACTGTAATGCGAGATCTCTCAGTTTCCACTCCAATCTCAGGAGTATGGATTCAGTGTATCACTGTACTTTGCACGTACTAATGCACATGATTCCACTCCATCTGCATGATCTCTATGAAACTTTCGGCTCATTTGAACACAAATGTCATTTTTCATTTATTCCATGTAAATTTGCGCTTTTGACTTCCTGATTTGGGCCAAAATTATTATTTACGTATTCTTTCATATTTTTTTTACTGAAAACGTCTTCAATTTCTATTTTAAATATCAAAGAAATTTTTTGCAATAAAACATTTTGAAAATTGAAAAAATTAAAAAGTCTGTTCTTTTTCCAAAAAATTTATATAAAATAATGAGAAATTGTAATTTTTGAAAATTATACTTCTTATAGACCGACGGCGGTGGCTGTGTGGTTCGAGTGTGGGATTGGCATGCGGGAGACCCGGGTTCGATTCCCGGCTAGGGGGGCCAAAATTTGTAACACTAAATCTCACGGTTTCATTGTCGAGCGGGAGTCTCGCAAGAGACGACTGTACCTGGGCAGGTTTTTCCCTCAAATGAGCTTTTCTCTTGTCCTTCAGCGAATGCGGTACAGGGGGTTGGGGGGTGGGAAGGGAACAAATCGGAAAGACCCGAAAGGGTATACGAAAAGAAAATTTTTTTTTTATAATTCTTTCCAGGCTTTGTAAATGTTTCCTAAATAATTCAGATTAATTTGAATAGAATTTCTGATGTGCAATTGCAAATGTTTAAAGGAATTTAATTTACAAAAAGCACTCGGGGGGGCCAAAATGTTTATCAATATTTTTTATTAATCCGATACAAATCTAACATTCAATCACACGATGAACAATAAAAAAATCATAAATTACAAATTAAAATACAAAACGATGAATAAATGGAGATGTCACAATTTTATTTTGCTCTCTTTTTATTCTTAATGTAAATAAAAAAATGCACTTTATCCATCACAATTCCTCTCGCCCCTAGCACTTCGCCCTGAGTTTCTCTGGCTCTCGTAGATCGGTCCGACGATCAACCAATACACAGCAAGGGACAAAATTATTAAACAGGCGATGGTGAGGGCAATTGGTTTGGCTCGTGGACGCCAACAGCCTCCAGATTCTCCAGTGTCCAATGTACCATGACGATGTGCGTACGCTTGGAGTGTCACATCGGCAATCCCTGAAATTAACTCATGAGAAGTCAAAATATTCTCTGACAATTTCAATGATTAGTTGAATTAACACTCTTGAATTTTTTGGAATTAATTCCGTTACATTTATTTGATTTTATTTTGTTATCCAAAATTGAACATTGAAAAATTCCCAACGTAATGATTTTTAAAATAATTTTTCAATACGATTACCAATTTTATAAATAATATTTGAGCAAGAAAAAAATACACCTGCATTGAGTATAAAATACACTTGAATCAAGTATATTTTATACTCAATAGGGGGATGGGCATTTCAATTCGAAGACTTTTATTTTGTATCAGGACGGGTCGTAGCAAGCCCTCTTAAGTAATAAGAGGGCTTGTCCTTAATATAAGGGTCAGGCACTAATTGTCAGAATATAAGGGGCCAAAAGTGGAGGTTAATAAATGAGGATCAGAATATTAGGGTCAAAACCTTAGGGTCAGAATATAAAAGTAAAAAAAGTGGGTGTCAGGCGATGAGGGTCTAAGAATAAGTCATATATTATGCTTGATCACCGTTTTGAGCCCTTATATGACTCTCATTGCCTGACATCCACTTTTTTACTTTTATATTCTGACCCTAATTTTTTGATCCTAATATTCTGACCCTCTTTTTTTAACCCTCACATTCTGACCCTCATTCCTTCACCTTTACATTCAGGCCCTCAGCTTTTGACTCTAATATTCCGACCCTCATTTTTTAATCTCCACTTTTTGACCCTTATATTCTCACACTTAGTGTCTCACCCTTATATTACACTTGAGAGCGCTTGGTACAACCCAGGCCGATACGAAATAATCATCCTCGAATTGAAAAATATACTCAATTCAAGTAGATTTTTTTCCCTCACGAGGAAAAAGCATGCCATAAGTAGTACTTGAAAAAATTTTCCTTGAAAAACGAAAATTTATTTCCCCGAGACGATCCTTCCCTCAATTTTCTAAATTAATTTCCTCTTATTTTATTATTGCATTAATCACTATTAGTTTTCCTCTTCTTCGTTCTTCTTTCCTTCGTTTTTCTCTTTTATTTTATTATTTTAGTCTTATTCTTTATTATCAACAAAATCCTTTTTTCAATTAAAAATACTATTCTTCCCTCACCCAACGGATCTGCATCGAATTCAATTGAAGAATTTACTTCTGACTCATGAAAATATGAACAGAGAGCACGAATACGTTATGAATAGAACAGAATAAAGTGATATTTTACCGGCACTCCTCCAACGGTTATCCATGACTCCCAGAATGCGTTAGGACAGAGTTTACTCGTGTGTTTATTGTCTCGGTAGAACGGAGTGAAATTCAACATCGAACTGCAAACTGTCGACTGCCAGAAGCCCGGCGTGAGCATCAGAGAGATGCCTGGAGAAGGCCCTTATGATGCGAATATCTACATGGAGAGTAAATGTCTGTTCAAGTACATCTGTTTTTAAACACCAGTGTATTGGAGAATATTTTTTATGCTCCGGGCATCATACTTAAAGAACTATTCTAGATCATTCCGATAGTTACAATTAATTCATGGGTATAAATAGGTTCTGCATGGCATTTAAAGTGGCTCTACGCTTACGGCTCGAGTCATTGACGGTTTTTACAAAAAACAAACTCAAAATTATTGTTTCTGGGTTTAAATTATTGAAATGAATTAGAGAGGTCAACATAAGGAACCCAAAAATTGTAATTCTTTAATTTTTAGGGTGGAAAATTATTTGTTCATAAATGATGATGAATTATTTGATCTGTAAAATGAACGGTTCTAGGATAAATGTTCACCGCACGGAGAGAAATGTCCGCAATC